AGGAATTGAGGTTGGGTTTTGGAGCGGGTGGGGGGGGACCGTCGGGCAGCTCGGCGACAACCGCAGCAGCCGGAGCCGACCCAGGACACCCTGCCAACTCCACTGGTGCCAGTAACACTTGAAAGATGGTCCCAGCACATCGCTCTGCATCCTCCTTGCCTATTTGTATGGCTTTCAAGCAGTCGCCTACAGCAGCCCAGTTACTACCTGAGCAATGGCCCATCCTCTTGGCCATGGACGACACAGGCTGCACACAGACGGCCCAGGACTGTACACAGTTCAAAGCGGCCGTTTTGGACTGCGTGGGTGTCCCCACGATCTACCGCCCCCAGAACCTCTGGAAACAGCTGGATTCTTGCAGGGCGCGGGCCAGCGCTGTGGCCTCGCAGCTGCGGCAGCGCGGCCGAAGCCAGGAGTACAACCCGGGTGCATCACGTGGAGCTCCTGACGGAGCACTTCGCTCACATATTCATGGCCAGCAAAGAGAGAGGAGCTGCTCAGAGGAGAGACTCCAAAACCAAACCTAGGATCAGTTGGCCACGATAAATGGAGAAACGATGGATCCTTATCCGGTGGCCAACTTGCACAGATTGAAATCCAGGCCTCCTATAGACGGGCAGCCCGACGGGAAAAGGACGGACCACACTCTTAGAGCTGCAGCCCTATCTTCAAGAGGAAACCCTAGGTCATGGTCTTGACCCATATTTTCTGGTCCTAAGATTGCCGAGGGAATCAATCGTATCTGTGCCTCGTGTCCAGAGCATTGAATAGTTGCTCCTAAAACAGTCTCAGAAGTATTGAATAGAAATGGCTGGGCTCAGCCAGCTCCCTGGAGGAAAATACTGTGTCGGTGTATTCCAGGGATATCAAAGGATACCTGCATCCTGCTCCCCGCCAGCACTGCAGCCAAGCTAAGGAGGTGTATCCTGGTAGATGCTGACCTGCACGTCCGCCTTCTTCACGTCACAGCTGTTGAAGGCGTTAGTTAGCCCACTAAAGATTAAAAGCATTTGGACCCCTGCACGCTACCGTCAGACTGACAGTCACGTGGAGCATTTCAGCAGGGCACTGAAAGTCACGGCCTGGGCAGCCAGCGCTGCGATCAGCTGTACAGTCCGGTCCCCGCTCCAACCCCGGGAGGAGGCCAGGACCAGGGCACTTTCACTGGAGGGCATCCCTTTAGTGCCCAGAACCGGGCATGCGACAAATGGGCTCACTCCTGGGTGTTTGAGCCAGGTGTTTGGGTCCTCCTGTTACCCTTTGGGGGGATGCCCAAGCCTGTGTTCACGTGGCTGGGGCCCTGTGCAGCAGCGCGGCAGGCGAGGCAGTGCAGTGCATTGCATTGCAATGAGAAGCGAGCTCAGGTTTACCCTACAAACCTCCCAGAAGCCTGGAGTGAGTGCCCAGGCACTTTGCTCATACCACGCGCCCGCTTGAGCTGGAGCTAGGGCCTCTCTCTTCAGTCAGCAGGGCTCGTGTAGCCTCCAGTTGGCACAAAAAGTCCCAGCACAGTGACTTGCTCCTGTCTTCTCTGCAGTTCTTGTGCCCCCGTTGAAGTGAACCAGCATAACCCACCGCTGTGTCAAACCTGAGCCAGGGCAGCAAGCCAGAGAGATGCCTCGGCCTGGCCCTAGGAAGATGCTGCAAGTTGTGCAATGGGAACACCGTGCTGCGTTTGAGCGGGGAGCTGTGGAGGCATCCCGAAGCATTTGGAGAGTCCTATCATGCTCATATCCAAACCGGATGGCACCTCACCCAGTCCCGCATTGCTGCCAGCTGCATGCCATCTCCACGTGTGACGTGTGTGCCGCGCCTGGCGTGGATGGCTACTCGATGGACCTCGCCACCCTCGACCTTACCGAAGAGCATTGGCAAGTCCTTCTTATGCCTGAATCCTTGAACAAATTGCTTCCCCTGCTATGCATAGTCCCTGTCAGTTATAAGCCATGCCTTTCAGCAGTTAATAGGCCACGTCATCCAGCCACGTGGCCATATGCCCCAGCTTACTCGGGTGACCGTCATTTGTAGCGTGACCGGGAGAGAAAGTGGGGCTCATCCTCGGGCCACTAAGGTTTGCAGCCAGCAGCAAAGGCAAAATAAGGAGAGGCAGAACTGCCTGCTTTGGGTGCGTGCCGGCGAAGCGGTTGCTCATCACTTAAGTGCGAACCTTGAACATCAGACCCAAGGAAATGGGCACAGCGGTCCTCAGGACCTGCAGAGCTTGCGCTTGCATCGTAGCAGCGTGGAGGACGGCAGCCCCGGGAAGCGCGGCAGGTTGGGGGTTTGTGGAGCAGCCATCCAGATCTGTAGGAATGATACGTGCAGGCAGCCCGTCTCAGAGGAGTTCATCCTGCTGGGCTGGAGGCCATGTTGTTGCAAGAGATCAGTGTCAAGGAACACGTCGTCCTGTTCATGAGTCAGGAGCACTTTTCCTGGGAGGTGGCTTATTCTGTATTGAAGGGGGTGGCTTGGCTGTGAAGTCGGCCATGGAGGGTACCCCGTTACCACCGTCTCGGGTGCCTGTTTGCTGTCATCACACTGCCATGCAATATGGCTAAGTGCCATAAAGGGCACAAGCCCCCGAGCAATGCCGTGGCACCTGTCCCCCCACCCAGGCCGGTCGGTGGGGCAGCGTAGGCCCCGAAACGCAGCCTGCCTCCCTGGGAGCGG